AATTCAATAAAAATCGACAAAAATACAGTTTCTAGCTAAAATTTGATGGTTTCGTTGCACTTTCCGAGCCCATAGGGTATCTGAGTGGCTTAAAAGTACAAGAAAACACTTCAAAAGTGACGTTTCTGAAGAATTTTAACAGTTTTCTTGTATCTACGAACGCCAGAATGCATAAAATTGACCTAAACGTCTCCTTTTCCTATTCTGAGTCGATTCTGCATGCTTTAAGTGTGTTTGGTGGCTCAGAACCATCAAAAAACGTTGAAATATAGTTCAAATTCAATAAAAATCGACAAAAATACAGTTTCTAGCTAAAATTTGATGGTTTCGTTGCACTTTCCGAGCCCGTAGGGTATCTGAGTGGCTTAAAAGTACAAGAAAACACTTCAAAAGTGACGTTTCTGAAGAATTTTAACAGTTTTCTTGTATCTACGAACGCCAGAATGCATAAAATTGACCTAAACGTCTCCTTTTCCTATTCTGAGTCGATTCTGCATGCTTTAAGTGTGTTTGGTGGCTCAGAACCATCAAAAAACGTTGAAATATAGTTCAAATTCAATAAAAATCGACAAAAATACAGTTTCTAGCTAAAATTTGATGGTTTCGTTGCACTTTCCGAGCCCGTAGGGTATCTGAGTGGCTTAAAAGTACAAGAAAACACTTCAAAAGTGACGTTTCTGAAGAATTTTAACAGTTTTCTTGTATCTACGAACGCCAGAATGCATAAAATTGACCTAAACGTCTCCTTTTCCTATTCTGAGTCGATTCTGCATGCTTTAAGTGTGTTTGGTGGCTCAGAACCATCAAAAAACGTTGAAATATAGTTCAAATTCAATAAAAATCGACAAAAATACAGTTTCTAGCTAAAATTTGATGGTTTCGTTGCACTTTCCGAGCCCGTTGGGTATCTGAGTGGCTTAAAAGTACAAGAAAACACTTCAAAAGTGACGTTTCTGAAGAATTTTAACAGTTTTCTTGTATCTCCGAACACCAGAATGCATAAAATTGACCTAAACGTCTCCTTTTCCTATTCTGAGTCGATTCTGCATGCTTTAAGTGTGTTTGGTGGCTCAGAACCATCAAAAAACGTTGAAACATAGTTCAAATTCAATAAAAATCGACAAAAATACAGTTTCTAGCTAAAATTTGATGGTTTCGTTGCACTTTCCGAGCCCGTAGGGTATCTGAGTGGCTTAAAAGTACAAGAAAACACTTCAAAAGTGACGTTTCTGAAGAATTTTAACAGTTTTCTTGTATCTACGAACGCCAGAATGCATAAAATTGACCTAAACGTCTCCTTTTCCTATTCTGAGTCGATTCTGCATGCTTTAAGTGTGTTTGGTGGCTCAGAACCATCAAAAAACTTTGAAATATAGTTCAAATTCAATAAAAATCGACAAAAATACAGTTTCTAGCTAAAATTTGATGGTTTCGTTGCACTTTCCGAGCCCATAGGGTATCTGAGTGGCTTAAAAGTACAAGAAAACACTTCAAAAGTGACGTTTCTGAAGAATTTTAACAGTTTTCTTGTATCTACGAACGCCAGAATGCATAAAATTGACCTAAACGTCTCCTTTTCCTATTCTGAGTCGATTCTGCATGCTTTAAGTGTGTTTGGTGGCTCAGAACCATCAAAAAACGTTGAAATATAGTTCAAATTCAATAAAAATCGACAAAAATACAGTTTCTAGCTAAAATTTGATGGTTTCGTTGCACTTTCCGAACCCGTAGGGTATCTGAGTGGCTTAAAAGTACAAGAAAACACTTCAAAAGTGACGTTTCTGAAGAATTTTAACAGTTTTCTTGTATCTACGAACGCCAGAATGCATAAAATTGACCTAAACGTCTCCTTTTCCTATTCTGAGTCGATTCTGCATGCTTTAAGTGTGTTTGGTGGCTCAGAACCATCAAAAAACGTTGAAATATAGTTCAAATTCAATAAAAATCGACAAAAATACAGTTTCTAGCTAAAATTTGATGGTTTCGTTGCACTTTCCGAGCCCGTAGGGTATCTGAGTGGCTTAAAAGTACAAGAAAACACTTCAAAAGTGACGTTTCTGAAGAATTTTAACAGTTTTCTTGTATCTACGAACGCCAGAATGCATAAAATTGACCTAAACGTCTCCTTTTCCTATTCTGAGTCGATTCTGCATGCTTTAAGTGTGTTTGGTGGCTCAGAACCATCAAAAAACGTTGAAATATAGTTCAAATTCAATAAAAATCGACAAAAATACAGTTTCTAGCTAAAATTTGATGGTTTCGTTGCACTTTCCGAGCCCATAGGGTATCTGAGTGGCTTAAAAGTACAAGAAAACACTTCAAAAGTGACGTTTCTGAAGAACTTTAACAGTTTTCTTGTATCTACGAACGCCAGAATGCATAAAATTGACCTAAACGTCTCCTTTTCCTATTCTGAGTCGATTCTGCATGCTTTAAGTGTGTTTGGTGGCTCAGAACCATCAAAAAACGTTGAAATATAGTTCAAATTCAATAAAAATCGACAAAAATACAGTTTCTAGCTAAAATTTGATGGTTTCGTTGCACTTTCCGAGCCCGTAGGGTATCTGAGTGGCTTAAAAGTACAAGAAAACACTTCAAAAGTGACGTTTCTGAAGAATTTTAACAGTTTTCTTGTATCTACGAACGCCAGAATGCATAAAATTGACCTAAACGTCTCCTTTTCCTATTCTGAGTCGATTCTGCATGCTTTAAGTGTGTTTGGTGGCTCAGAACCATCAAAAAACGTTGAAATATAGTTCAAATTCAATAAAAATCGACAAAAATACAGTTTCTAGCTAAAATTTGATGGTTTCGTTGCACTTTCCGAGCCCGTAGGGTATCTGAGTGGCTTAAAAGTACAAGAAAACACTTCAAAAGTGACGTTTCTGAAGAATTTTAACAGTTTTCTTGTATCTACGAACGCCAGAATGCATAAAATTGACCTAAACGTCTCCTTTTCCTATTCTGAGTCGATTCTGCATGCTTTAAGTGTGTTTGGTGGCTCAAAACCATCAAAAAACGTTGAAATATAGTTCAAATTCAATAAAAATCGACAAAAATACAGTTTCTAGCTAAAATTTGATGGTTTCGTTGCACTTTCCGAGCCCGTAGGGTATCTGAGTGGCTTAAAAGTACAAGAAAACACTTCAAAAGTGACGTTTCTGAAGAATTTTAACAGTTTTCTTGTATCTACGAACGCCAGAATGCATAAAATTGACCTAAACGTCTCCTTTTCCTATTCTGAGTCGATTCTGCATGCTTTAAGTGTGTTTGGTGGCTCAGAACCATCAAAAAACGTTGAAATATAGTTCAAATTCAATAAAAATCGACAAAAATACAGTTTCTAGCTAAAATTTGATGGTTTCGTTGCACTTTCCGAGCACGTAGGGTATCTGAGTGGCTTAAAAGTACAAGAAAACACTTCAAAAGTGACGTTTCTGAAGAATTTTAACAGTTTTCTTGTATCTACGAACGCCAGAATGCATAAAATTGACCTAAACGTCTCCTTTTCCTATTCTGAGTCGATTCTGCATGCTTTAAGTGTGTTTGGTGGCTCAGAACCATCAAAAAACGTTGAAATATAGTTCAAATTCAATAAAAATCGACAAAAATACAGTTTCTAGCTAAAATTTGATGGTTTCGTTGCACTTTCCGAGCCCGTAGGGTATCTGAGTGGCTTAAAAGTACAAGAAAACACTTCAAAAGTGACGTTTCTGAAGAATTTTAACAGTTTTCTTGTATCTACGAACGCCAGAATGCATAAAATTGACCTAAACGTCTCCTTTTCCTATTCTGAGTCGATTCTGCATGCTTTAAGTTTGTTTGGTGGCTCAGAACCATCAAAAAACGTTGAAATATAGTTCAAATTCAATAAAAATCGACAAAAATACAGTTTCTAGCTAAAATTTGATGGTTTCGTTGCACTTTCCGAGCCCGTAGGGTATCTGAGTGGCTTAAAAGTACAAGAAAACACTTCAAAAGTGACGTTTCTGAAGAATTTTAACAGTTTTCTTGTATCTACGAACGCCAGAATGCATAAAATTGACCTAAACGTCTCCTTTTCCTATTCTGAGGCGATTCTGCATGCTTTAAGTGTGTTTGGTGGCTCAGAACCATCAAAAAACGTTGAAATATTGTTCGGGTTTCGGTTTTACCTACCAACCGCAACCCTTGTCAACAAGCGTCCCCAACTTTCTCTTTTACCTGCAATGTATCGCTTCCGATTTTAACAACTTTGTACATAGACTCCGAACCGTCAACAACAAGTAAATACAGTGTTACACAGCACATGTTTGTGTTTCATTTTATATCAATCTTTTTCGGTACGTATGTATGAGTAACAATCATACATCCAACATTGGTCCTTCGAGCCGGATCTCTCCACATGTGTGATCCAGTGCTGTGAATTCAACAATAAAACGCGGTGGTGCCATTTTTCGACGCCTGTATCGGGAGACGTGATCTACCGGCCATCGGAGTTCCCTACCGGACAGGAGAGCAGCGAATCCAGCCCATCCAGTCGTTTCATCCAAGGTTCCAAGTGACCTTATCACGTTTTTGGTAATTTTCGACGCCTGTATCGGGAGACGTGACCTACCGGCCATCGGAGTTCCCTACCGAGCAGGAGAGAAGCGAATTCAGCCCATCCAGTCAATTCACCCAGGCTCCAGGTGATCTTATTACGGTTTTGGCAATTTTCGACGCCTGCATCGGGAGACGGGATCCAGCCATTGGAAATTCCCAACCGGACAGGAGAGCAGCGAATCAGTCTAGCCGTTCCAGGTGCCAGAGGGCCTTATTGCGGTGAGTGGGTTCCAACTATTCCTTTTCTTTATCTATTTCCTGTCAAGCACGGATTCGACCGTAATTGCACGTCATTTTATTTAAATTTCATTGGCAAGTACCATTTACCTTGCCCGAACTGTACCAGTTTTACGTATTTCAACTAAGCGGTTTTTCAAATGGTTATGACGCGTTCGCAAACTTTCGATACTCCACACATGGCAGGCGCGGAAGGTGACGACAATGCCGAAACATTTTCGGACTCAAATCCTACACCAGAGGATGCAGGAAATTTACAAATTTTATTCTTAAAAAGAGATCGCATTCACGACGAAATATCGCGTTTCAAGTTGTGGTTTGAAACAAACAATCTAAGTACATCCGCTTCTCGACTAAGAGTAAGATTGCGCGATTTTGTACGTATTAAGGCTCAGTTTGACAAAATCCATTCTCAGATTGAAGCTCTTGATGACACCACCTCCGATTTAGAACAAGCTACCACAAGACTTTATTTTGAAAACGCGTATTACGATTTATGTGCAGATGTCGAAGATGCTATTGAACAAAAACGCGTTAACACATCTTCACCTGCACCGCAAGGTAACGCACCTACGAGCACACCGTCACCATCGGTGCAGTTGCTCCCGAATGTTATTAAACCGTTTAGCGGAATTTATACTGAATGGCTACCTTTTTATAATACATTTAAAACACAAAAGGTGTCTACATTTACAGCGGCAGTAAATCGCAATAGTACACAATCCAATTGTTATTTTTGTAAAAAATCTCATTTAATTTACAACTGTGTTACCTTTTCAAAACTCAGTGTTTCGGAAAGAAGGTCTCAGGTAGATAGGTTGAAATTATGTCAAAATTGTCTCAAACCATCGCATACGTCCGATAGCTGTAAATCTATGTCATGTAAATTATGCCAATTGAAACATAATACACTTTTACACAGTGACCAACCCTCTCATTCAAACGAAAACCAGCCTAGTACCAGCGGAGTTTATTGCTCATCCGCCCTTTTTCCACAAGCCGTTTTGTCTACAGCAATAATTCTAATAAAGGATTGTAAAAACAAATTTCAAAAATTCCGGGCTTTGTTAGACGTGGGTTCAGAATCGCATTTTATTACTGAAGCCGCCACTAACAAATTGGGTTTAAGTACAGAAAATGCAAATGTGGTCGTAGCAGGTATTCAATGTTCAAATACGACCGCTAGACAAAAGGTTCAGGTACAGATCGAGTCGTTGCATTACTCATTTACAACAGCTTTAAATTGTCTGGTAATCCCAAAAATTTCGAAGAACATAACTGCCCGTACCTTTTCTAAAGATGAGCTGGACATACCTGAAGCGGTAAAACTTGCCGATCCTAATTTCAATTTGTCACAGCCAATCGATCTGTTAATCGGAGCTGGATTATTTTGGCAACTGTTATGTGTAGGTCAAATTCAAACGATAGGACATGGCTTAATATTACAAAAAACTTTATTAGGTTGGATTGCAGGAGGGCCATTGCATGGATGCCCCACCAGTAACACTCGTCAAAATCTACATTGCGCGGTCAATAATGTCAATTTAGAAAACCAGGTTGAAAAGTTCTGGAAACTTGAAAGTTATTCAAACGATGATAAGCCGCTCACAGCTCTTGAAATACAACATGAGAACTATTTTATTAACAATGCCACTCAATTATCCAACGGACGATTTCAAGTCAGATTAACATTTAACGAATTTTTACCAAACTTGGGGAATCCGACAGAAATCGCGCTCAAACGGTTCAACACATTGGAACGAAAGTTCGCAAAAAATGTCATGTTAAAAATAAATTATCACGATTTTATGAAAGAATACATTAATTTGGGTCATATGCGTTTACTAGGTCCATTGACAGAGCATAGAATCGAAAGTGAACCCTATTACCTCTTGCCTCACCACGCGGTTTTCAAAAATGACGGGGCCACTGATAAGATTCGCGTAGTATTTGACGGGTCAGCCAAACCATCATTCGGAAAAAGCATAAATGCTTGTCTGAGTACAGGGCCAAAAGTACAAAACGACATTTTTGATTTAATAATTCGATTTAGAACGTATAGGTTTGCCTTTACAGCGGACATTTGCAAGATGTACCGTCAAATTTTAATTCATCCCGAAGACAGACGATATCAAAGAATTTTGTGGCGGGATGATCCCACACAACCGATGCAAGTGTACGAACTTAATACGGTCACATACGGGATGTCGTCAGCTCCCTATGCTGCGATCAAATGTCTAAGATTATTGGCGGATCAAGTGGAATCAACATTTCCAAAAGCTGCCGAAATAATCAAAGACAATTTTTACGTCGACGATGTACTCTGCGGGAGTTCCACCGTAGGGGAAACAATGAAACTTCGTGACCAATTAACGCAAGTGCTTTCCCAAGGACGTTTCACTTTAGCCAAATGGGCTTCCAATAATCCTAACATTGTACCACAAGAAACACCGAAAATGTCTGTTGTAAAATTTGACCAGGTGGACAATGAATCGAAAACCCTTGGTTTAGTGTGGGACACTCAAAAAGATGCGTTCAAATATTCAATCGACAATCTTTCAACTACGGGTAAAGTTTCTAAACGAAAAATTTTATCGGTCTCATCTAAACTTTACGATCCTTTAGGCTTACTAGGGCCAGTAACAGTTCTAGCTAAAATACTTTTGCAGGAAATATGGAATTTAAAACTTAGTTGGGATGAAACTGTGCCATTATCAATTTATTCCTCCTGGAAAAATTGGCTGAATGATTTAAAAATGGCGAATGAAATTACAATTCCTAGGTTCATATTTGAAACGGATGCCAGTGTCGAATTGCACTGTTTTTCTGACGCCTCCATTAAGGCGTATGGCGGAGCTATTTATGTACGTTGCATTAAGAAAAATGGTCAAGTTAATGTTAACTTACTTTGTGCAAAAAGTCGCGTTGCCCCCTTGAAGGCGACACCATTGCCCCGTCTTGAATTGTGTGCGGCTCTACTAGTATGTCAACTATGCGATGCGGTACTTAAAACAGTAAAAGTTCCGATTCAAAATAAGTACTTCTGGACCGACTCTAAAATCGCGTTAGCGTGGATTTCATCCCCCTCTAGCTCACTGAAAACATTCGTGGCCAACAGAGTGGCTGAAATTCAAAATCTTAGCAGTATAGAAGAATGGCGGTACGTACCGTCTATTAGTAATCCTGCCGACATAATATCGCGAGGCACAACAGCGAACAAATTATTAAACAACGATTTTTGGTTCCACGGGCCTTCATTTCTTTCATACACAAACGAATTTTGGCCCATACAAGAACCGGTCAGCAAAGTAGATTTACCAGAACAAAAGCAGACTACCTCACTCTTAGTAAACACACTTCCTGAATGGGAATACTTAAAACAGTTTTCTGATTTTATTAAATTACAGCGCTCAATAGCTTATCTAAATCGATTTGTAACTAATATCGGGAATAAAAATAATCAAAACTACGGGCCATTATCATGCTCAGAACTTGATCTAGCTTTAACAATCATTTTACGCCACATACAATCAACCGAATTTGACGAAGAAATAAGAACATTATCAAACAATTTGCCATTAAAACCGAGCAGTAAGCTTCTATGTTTGAATCCGTTTTTAGAGAAAGACGGAATCTTAAGAGTAGGCGGACGCTTAAATTTGGCTACCACTATTTCAGATTATAAAAAACATCCATATTTGCTACCGAGAAACCATCATGTGACAATGTTAATCATTTCTCACATCCATTTAAGTCACTTACACGCGGGCCCCCAGGCCACGCTAGCGATATTACGGGAAAAATTTTGGGTCCTTACAGGTCGCAATGTGGTCAGAAAAATAATCCAAAAATGTATGCGCTGTTACAGACTAAAACCACAGCCATGTAGCGAACGAATGGGTAACTTACCGAGCTATAGAATAGAGCCCAGTAGACCATTTTCTAAAACGGGTTTAGATTATTGCGGCCCAATCAACATCAATTTAAATCGCGGTAGAGGAAGGCCAAAAATATCGAAAGCCTATATAGCAGTCTTCATATGCATGGCAACAAAAGCGGTGCATTTGGAACTCGTGTCAGACTGTACCACCGAAAGTTTCTTACAAGCTCTGAAAAGATTCGTTGGTCGACGAGGAAAACCCAACGACATCTTCTCTGACAACGGGACAACTTTCGTCGGCGCAAAAAATGAGATGCAACGACTTCTCAGTTCGCGGAATGACCGTAATTACATAATAAAATACTTGACAACTGAGCAGATCAATTTTCATTTTATTCCGCCTTCCGCGCCACATATGGGGGGTATCTGGGAAGCGGCAGTCAAATCTGCGAAAAATCAATTGAAACGCGTTATTGGTACAGCTTTGTTTAATTTCGAAGAAATGCAGACGTTGCTAATCCAAGTTGAAGCATGCTTAAATTCGCGTCCGTTAACCCCTATATCCAATGACCCAAATGATCTGACTCCTTTAACCCCCGGCCACTTCCTCGTTGGAACCCCTCTAACTGCTGTTCCAGAGGACAACGTCACCGCGCTCCCAACGAACCGGCTCTCCAGGTGGCAACAAGTCAGTCGCACTCAGCAGCAATTCTGGAAACGGTGGTCAGCAGAATATCTGGGCCAACTTCAAAATCGCCCAAAATGGACCAAGGCCAGCCACAACAACATAAAGGTGGACGATTTGGTGGTCATTAAGGAAGACCACACACCCCCGCTTGCATGGAAGATGGGACGCGTCACTACAGTTCATCCCGGTCAAGATGGCCTCATTCGGGTAGTGACAGTGAAAACCGCGAATGGTGTGACTAAACGACCAGTGGTTAAACTATGTGTGCTTCCGACCGAACCATAAACAAAGGTGTTTAAATCTATTTGTTTTTTGTATATATGTGTTTTATATTCCCTTTTGTCAAAGTGCTGTATGCATCCATTATGTAAATAGGTACTCATTATGTAGTGATATTTGCAGTTTAAACTTATTGTCATGTTGAAAGTTAGTTCTTTCAAGGCGCCGGACCATGTTCGGGTTTCGGTTTTACCTACCAACCGCAACCCTTGTCAACAAGCGTCCCCAACTTTCTCTTTTACCTGCAATGTATCGCTTCCGATTTTAACAACTTTGTACATAGACTCCGAACCGTCAACAACAAGTAAATACAGTGTTACACAGCACATGTTTGTGTTTCATTTTATATCAATCTTTTTCGGTACGTATGTATGAGTAACAATCATACATCCAACAAATATAGTTCAAATTCAATAAAAATCGACAAAAATACAGTTTCTAGCTAAAATTTGATGGTTTCGTTGCACTTTCCGAGCCCGTAGGGTATCTGAGTGGCTTAAAAGTACAAGAAAACACTTCAAAAGTGACGTTTCTGAAGAATTTTAACAGTTTTCTTGTATCTACGAACGCCAGAATGCATAAAATTGACCTAAACGTCTCCTTTTCCTATTCTGAGTCGATTCTGCATGCTTTAAGTGTGTTTGGTGGCTCAGAACCATCAAAAAACGTTGAAATATAGTTCAAATTCAATAAAAATCGACAAAAATACAGTTTCTAGCTAAAATTTGATGGTTTCGTTGCACTTTCCGAGCCCGTAGGGTATCTGAGTGGCTTAAAAGTACAAGAAAACACTTCAAAAGTGACGTTTCTGAAGAATTTTAACAGTTTTCTTGTATCTACGAACGCCAGAATGCATAAAATTGACCTAAACGTCTCCTTTTTTTATTCTGAGTCGATTCTGCATGCTTTAAGTGTGTTTGGTGGCTCAGAACCATCAAAAAACGTTGAAATATAGTTCAAATTCAATAAAAATCGACAAAAATACAGTTTCTAGCTAAAATTTGATGGTTTCGTTGCACTTTCCGAGCCCGTAGGTTATCTGAGTGGCTTAAAAGTACAAGAAAACACTTCAAAAGTGACGTTTCTGAAGAATTTTAACAGTTTTCTTGTATCTACGAACGCCAGAATGCATAAAATTGACCTAAACGTCTCCTTTTCCTATTCTGAGTCGATTCTGCATGCTTTAAGTGTGTTTGGTGGCTCAGAACCATCAAAAAACGTTGAAATATAGTTCAAATTCAATAAAAATCGACAAAAATACAGTTTCTAGCTAAAATTTGATGGTTTCGTTGCACTTTCCGAGCCCGTAGGGTATCTGAGTGGCTTAAAAGTACAAGAAAACACTTCAAAAGTGACGTTTCTGAAGAATTTTAACAGTTTTCTTGTATCTACGAACGCCAGAATGCATAAAATTGACCTAAACGTCTCCTTTTCCTATTCTGAGTCGATTCTGCATGCTTTAAGTGTGTTTGGTGGCTCAGAACCATCAAAAAACGTTGAAATATAGTTCAAATTCAATAAAAATCGACAAAAATACAGTTTCTAGCTAAAATTTGATGGTTTCGTTGCACTTTCCGAGCCCGTAGGGTATCTGAGTGGCTTAAAAGTACGAGAAAACACTTCAAAAGTGACGTTTCTGAAGAATTTTAACAGTTTTCTTGTATCTACGAACGCCAGAATGCATAAAATTGACCTAAACATCTCCTTTTCCTATTCTGAGTCGATTCTGCATGCTTTAAGTGTGTTTGGTGGCTCAGAACCATCAAAAAACGTTGAAATATAGTTCAAATTCAATAAAAATCGACAAAAATACAGTTTCTAGCTAAAATTTTATGGTTTCGTTGCACTTTCCGAGCCCGTAGGGTATCTGAGTGGCTTAAAAGTACAAGAAAACACTTCAAAAGTGACGTTTCTGAAGAATTTTAACAGTTTTCTTGTATCTACGAACGCCAGAATGCATAAAATTGACCTAAACGTCTCCTTTTCCTATTCTGAGTCGATTCTGCATGCCTTAAGTGTGTTTGGTGGCTCAGAACCATCAAAAAACGTTGAAATATAGTTCAAATTCAATAAAAATCGACAAAAATACAGTTTCTAGCTAAAATTTGATGGTTTCGTTGCACTTTCCGAGCCCGTAGGGTATCTGAGTGGCTTAAAAGTACAAGAAAACACTTCAAAAGTGACGTTCCTGAAGAATTTTAACAGTTTTCTTGTATCTACGAACGCCAGAATGCATAAAATTGACCTAAACGTCTCCTTTTCCTATTCTGAGTCGATTCTGCATGCTTTAAGTGTGTTTGGTGGCTCAGAACCATCAAAAAACGTTGAAATATAGTTCAAATTCAATAAAAATCGACAAAAATACAGTTTCTAGCTAAAATTTGATGGTTTCGTTGCACTTTCCGAGCCCGTTGGGTATCTGAGTGGCTTAAAAGTACAAGAAAACACTTCAAAAGTGACGTTTCTGAAGAATTTTAACAGTTTCCTTGTATCTACGAACGCCAGAATGCATAAAATTGACCTAAACGTCTCCTTTTCCTATTCTGAGTCGATTCTGCATGCTTTAAGTGTGTTTGGTGGCTCAGAACCATCAAAAAACGTTGAAATATAGTTCAAATTCAATAAAAATCGACAAAAATACAGTTTCTAGCTAAAATTTGATGGTTTCGTTGCACTTTCCGAGCCCGTAGGGTATCTGAGTGGCTTAAAAGTACAAGAAAACACTTCAAAAGTGACGTTTCTGAAGAATTTTAACAGTTTTCTTGTACCTACGAACGCCAGAATGCATAAAATTGACCTAAACGTCTCCTTTTCCTATTCTGAGTCGATTCTGCGGGCTTTAAGTGTGTTTGGTGGCTCAGAACCATCAAAAAACGTTGAAATATAGTTCAAATTCAATAAAAATCGACAAAAATACAGTTTCTAGCTAAAATTTGATGGTTTCGTTGCACTTTCCGAGCCCGTAGGGTATCTGAGTGGCTAAAAAGTACAAGAAAACACTTCAAAAGTGACGTTTCTGAAGAATTTTAACAGTTTTCTTGTATCTACGAATGCCAGAATGCATAAATTTGACCTAAACGTCTCCTTTTCCTATTCTGAGTCGATTCTGCATGCTTTAAGTGTGTTTGGTGGCTCAGAACCATCAAAAAACGTTGAAATATAGTTCAAATTCAATAAAAATCGACAAAAATACAGTTTCTAGCTAAAATTTGATGGTTTCGTTGCACTTTCCGAGCCCGTAGGTTATCTGAGTGGCTTAAAAGTACAAGAAAACACTTCAAAAGTGACGTTTCTGAAGAATTTTAACAGTTTTCTTGTATCTACGAACGCCAGAATGCATAAAATTGACCTAAACGTCTCCTTTTCCTATTCTGAGTCGATTCTGCATGCTTTAAGTGTGTTTGGTGGCTCAGAACCATCAAAAAACGTTGAAATATAGTTCAAATTCAATAAAAATCGACAAAAATACAGTTTTTAGCTAAAATTTTATGGTTTCGTTGTACTTTCCGAGCCCGTAGGGTATCTGAGTGGCTTAAAAGTACAAGAAAACACTTCAAAAGTGACGTTTCTGAAGAATTTTAACAGTTTTCTTGTATCTACGAACGCCAGAATGCATAAAATTGACCTAAACGTCTCCTTTTCCTATTCTGAGTCGATTCTGCATGCTTTAAGTGTGTTTGGTGGCTCAGAACCATCAAAAAACGTTGAAATATAGTCAAATTCAATAAAAATCGACAAAAATACAGTTTCTAGCTAAAATTTGATGGTTTCGTTGCACTTTCCGAGACCGTAGGGTATCTGAGTGGCTTAAAAGTACAAGAAAACACTTCAAAAGTGACGTTTCTGAAGAATTTTAACAGTTTTCTTGTATCTACGAACGCCAGAATGCATAAAATTGACCTAAACGTCTCCTTTTTTTATTCTGAGTCGATTCTGCATGCTTTAAGTGTGTTTGGTGGCTCAGAACCATCAAAAAACGTTGAAATATAGTTCAAATTCAATAAAAATCGACAAAAATACAGTTTCTAGCTAAAATTTGATGGTTTCGTTGCACTTTCCGAGCCCGTAGGGTATCTGAGTGGCTTAAAAGTACAAGAAAACACTTCAAAAGTGACGTTTCTGAAGAATTTTAACAGTTTTCTTGTATCTACGAACGCCAGAATGCATAAAATTGACCTAAACGTCTCCTTTTCCCATTCTGAGTCGATTCTGCATGCTTTAAGTGTGTTTGGTGGCTCAGAACCATCAAAAAACGTTGAAATATAGTTCAAATTCAATAAAAATCGACAAAAATACAGTTTCTAGCTAAAATTTGATGGTTTCGTTGCACTTTCCGAGCCCGTCGGGTATCTGAGTGGCTTAAAAGTACAAGAAAACACTTCAAAAGTGACGTTTCTGAAGAATTTTAACAGTTTTCTTGTATCTACGAACGCCAGAATGCATAAAATTGACCTAAACGTCTCCTTTTCCCATTCTGAGTCGATTCTGCATGCTTTAAGTGTGTTTGGTGGCTCAGAACCATCAAAAAACGTTGAAATATAGTTCAAATTCAATAAAAATCGACAAAAATACAGTTTCTAGCTAAAATTTAATGGTTTCGTTGCACTTTCCGAGCCCGTAGGGTAACTGAGTGGCTTAAAAGTACAAGAAAACACTTCAAAAGTGACGTTTCTGAAGAATTTTAACAGTTTTCTTGTATCTACGAACGCCAGAATGCATAAAATTGACCTAAACGTCTCCTTTTCCTATTCTGAGTCGCTTCTGCATGCTTTAAGTGTGTTTGGTGGCTCAGAACCATCAAAAAACGTTGAAATATAGTTCAAATTCAATAAAAATCGACAAAAATACAGTTTCTAGCTAAAATTTGATGGTTTCGTTGCACTTTCCGAGCCCGTAGGGTATCTGAGTGGCTTAAAAGTACAAGAAAACACTTCAAAAGTGACGTTTCTGAAGAATTTTAACAGTTTTCTTGTATCTACGAACGCCAGAATGCATAAAATTGACCT